CCCCCCCCCCCCCCCCCCCCCCCCCCCCCCCCCCCCCCCCCCCCCCCCCCCCCCCCCCCCCCCCCCCCCCCCCCCCCCCCCCCCCCCCCCCCCCCACTGAGCGACTTTTCGGCCGGCGCGATTTTCAAATTTTCGGGAGCAAAATATTTTAAAACCCCCCCTTGAAAAAATCCTGCGTACGCCCCTGGTTCACATATATATTCCCACAAGGTTTCTTTCCAAAATCTATTAAACTTTCTAGCATCAAAGGGCGTCTGAAATTAGTGTATCATTGGACTGTGGCGAATCTTTTCATATAGGTTCCTTTGGGGTTTTCCTTTCCAGCTGATCTAGCTCAATATTGGGATTGGGGTAATTTAGTGGCGTCTGGCAGGCACTCCCCTCCACTTAAATCGTTTCATAATACACACGCGTCTGGCATTGTCCATTCATGTACCTCGAGACTACGGTAAAACTTCTTATATAGGTTTTATAGGGTTTCCTTTCCAGCTGATCTATGGCAATTTCGGGGATTGGGGCTCGACCTTTAAGGGTGTCTGGCAGCAGGGGGCGGATCCAGCCGGCGGCAAGGGGGGCCAAATTCGTGAGAAAAAAAGTTAGCGGCGAATTCCTTCAGTTGGGGGGGGGGGGGGTGTAGTAAGCAAGAATTGTTTTGTTGCGCCCTCGAAAATTTGAAAAAAATCGCACCTCCCACCCCCCTTGAGCGCCAGGGGAAGGGGGCCCATCTCCAAAAAAAGTAAAATTAACGTGGTTTTACAGGGGTCGGGGCCCGGGCGCCCGCCCCCTGGATCCGCCACTGACTAGAACAATAATGTAGCTGAAAACCTATAGTTTGGTTTTCTTTACTTTAGGCCTAATTGGTCTACTTGACAAGGTTAGTCTACTAGCTGTAATTTGAAAAATAAAACTATGAAGTGAATAGTGTACGTGTCAATCATTAAGTCATATGAAAGGAGAGGGCTTTTATAATATCAATGTATGATTTATTTTAACTTGCATCATTTATGCTTTGCTATAATTATGCTGAAAATATTGTTCTTCATCCGCGTTCTATTGTTCAACATCTAAATTTGTACAAGTTTTTTTCCCCAGGGGTGGGGGCCCGCCCCGCCCCCCCCTCCGCCACTGAAAGTGTGTGCCTTGCAAAATTAAAATAAACTGAACTCAACTGAACTGACAGTACGTCAACAGATAGCTGGATAGAGGCTCTCCGTGAAGTCTATTTTTTTGTCTTCAATATTTGTATGCCGTGTTATAATATGTGTTATCTTAGAATTTTACAACATTTTGTATATTGCGCACAGACCTACAGAAGAACAACCTTTGGCTAAAGTTGGTGCCGTGCTAAAATAAATAAAATAAACTGAACTAAACTGACAGTACGTTAACAAATAGCTTGATAGAGGTTCTCCGTTACATGGCGTTTCTTATTTTTAATATTTGTATGTTATGATATTTATTATCTTAGAATTTTACATGCATTTTTATATTGCGCACGGACCTACAGAAGAACAACCTTTTTTCTAAAGTTGATGCCGTGCTAAAATAAATAAAATAAACTGAAATGAACTGAACTGACAGTACGTTAACAGATAGCTGGAAAGAGGTGCTCCGTTACATGCAGTTTAAAGGTAAAGACCAGTATTGGAAACGCCCCAATTTCAAAAAATGAAATGGAAGCTCTCATTACCAATCATGTGAAAGAATATGTTTTGACTAATACATGATGATAAAAAGTTTGCCGGGAAACCGCCTACTAATTCATATATTGGTAAATTTGTTTCTCTTATGGACTGTGAGAGATATAGGGTAGTCCCATATTAATCTTTCTGTGTATAGTGCTTGTATCTTTACTTAGAATGGGCCAAATTTCTTATCATTTTGATGATTCCAGAACCCTGCAGATGCTAGATGCTAAATGATCAACATTTTCTGATCGATTTCACAACGTTTATTTCACAATGCAATCGCATGACCATAACTGGTCTTTACCTTTATTTTTATGTTATGACATGTGTTATCTTATAATAAAATATTGTAGGCCTACATGCATTTTTCTTTATTGTGCACGAACCTATAGAAGATCAGCCTTTGACTGAAGTTGGTGTCGCGCAAAAATAAAATATGCTGGATGGAGACACTCCTTCCCATCAAGCTTTTTTTATATTTGTATGTTATGATATCTGTTATCATATAATTGTACATGTATTTGTTTCAATTGCGCACGGACCTACAGAAGATCAGCCTTTGGCTGAAGTTGGTGCCGTGCAAAAAATAAAATATGCTGGATGGATACACTCCTTCACATCAAGCTTTTTTTTTAATTTTTTTATATTTGTATGTTATGATATGTGTTATCTTATAATTGTACATGTATTTGTTTCAATTGCGCACGGACCTACAGAAGATCAGCTTTTGGCTGAAGTTGGTGCCGTGCAAAAATAAAATATGCTGGATGGATACACTCCTTCATATCAAGCT